CCGATTTCTCGTTTTTTTTTTTGTTTTTTTGTTTTTTTTAATATATTATGAAGTAATTATCAAATTCTCCACCAGGGTAACTTTATGAATCGATGTCATTCATGTCCTGTCTCATTCATTTACACACTCGGCCGTTCACTCGGCCGCTCGTCCTGTTGCTCTGTAAATGGTCAGTCGATTACACTGATGGTATCTGAGTGGAGCCGGGCCAAAGAGGAGCCATTAGTCACACACACACACACACACACATAGACAAACTATGGGCGGGGCACATGTGTAGAGCCACATACAGTAAACACTTACACACACACACGTACACATACGTAAAATATATTATGAAGTAATTATCAAATTCTCCACCAGGGTAACTTTATGAATCGATGTCATTCATGTCCTGTCTCATTCATTTACACACTCGGCCGGTCAATTGGACGAGTCCTCAGGTGACAACATTTCTTTGTTCAAGATTTAACATATTTTTTTTTTGGGGGGGGTGGGGAGGTACACAGTGATACCAGAGTGGACCAAACACCAGATGTTATTCTGCTGGTTGTCAGTTACCATCCACCATCAAAGCCTTTTCATGTTTTCTGCAGCCAAATCAATAATGTTGTAAAAAGCCGCTGTGTGAAAATAGCAGCATTTCCTTTCTGTGGATCAGAGTTTAAAGTAACTCAAGTGATCGACCGGCGTTTTAAGAAGTAAAACTATTAATATTTTATTTTTTAATATTTTATATGAGTTCTGAGAAATTATTACTTATTATTTCCTTTCCAAAAATATAAGCACTTTTTTGTTTAAAACAACAGCAGCAGGACCTGGTTTTATACAGTATGTATATATAAAACTACCTTGATTAATTATTAGTTAATTATTAATTATTAGTTGAAATATTAGCTATAACAATTGAGTTAGTGTCAGTGAACAAGAAAATGATTTAAATCCAGATGTAATTTGTTCCATTAAGCTCTCACTTTACGTCGTGTCAGTTTTTTTTTGTTGTTTTTTTTTTTCTAACCCTGTTAGATTTTATTGCCTTGATTACGGTGAAATAAACAGAACCGTAAACCTGCTCACGGTGGCAGCTTTTTTCTGCTCCGTCAGCGGTCTCCTCAGCTCCGGCCACGACTTGATGAATATTTCTGTTTACGTTGTCGTTACGGCTGCTTTGATTGATGAACATTATTCACAGACACGTCGTTCAAAACAACATTTCTTTCATTTCCTTTTGTTGTCCGTCTTTTCCCGCTCATCCGCCATTTTGTCTGCTGCCGTTGACGAACACGTACGAGACGTTAGCTGAAGCTTAGCCGGCGTCTGTGAAAAACAGCGCTGATTGTTATTCTGCCGACGTGTGTGATGGAACAGCAGCTGTTATTATAGTTGTTGGTCTCCCCTGGAGTCGGTCCCTCCCTCTGACACAATGGTCAATTTTTATAACAGTTTTGTTTTTAAGTCAAAGCTCCTGTGGTGATTTTATTCCCGCAGGCGGTTGTGACTCTGGAAACGTCATTTATGTTTCTTTGTCGTCATCGCAGCAAATATAACAGATCCATTATTTATAATGTATTATATTGACTTGATGTATATGGACAATTTTGTGCAAATGTCTGAAAATGCAGAATAATAAAAAAATCATACGTACATATTTACACTGTGAAGAAGAATCAGAATAAAGGAGTGAAGAGACAGACAGATGTTCAGTGGTCAGAAAACAGAGGAAAAGACACGTGTGGACATGGAGACAGACAGGTAGACATATGGAGACAGACAGGTAGACATATGGAGACAGACAGGTAGACAGTCAGGCAGGATTTACCAGGTCACTGGTTTGGCAGCCAGGGCCTCCAACCACTCTGCATTATTGATGTGCTCTTTGGCAATTTGCTTCGGCCGCTTAATTCCAAGCAGTAATTGTCAGGTTTTTATGGAGGTTGGCTTCGTTTTTTAAGTCCTCACAATGAAGTCAGAAATATAATTAATCTCTAAGTCAGACCAAAATTAATTAGGAACATTGGTGACTGGAGATAAAAAATGGAACGTGTCAGTCCACACAAGACCAACAGTCTGGGAGAAGAAGAAGAAGAAGGAGGAGAAAAGAAATCTGACTGTGTTTTTTTTTTAAGGCAGTGTTCCTTTGATGATGTGTTTGAGGGTTTTAGAGAGGAGGGGGGGGGAGAGGGGGGGGGTCAGGGTCAATACAGACATAGGATCACTTTTCAAGGTCATCGATCAATCGAACTGGGATAATTACCAGTGGAGAGAAAAAGAGGGATTGGTAATTGAATGAAAGGTGGGGTGAAGAATGACGAGCGTCTGTCTTCACGTTTAACGGAACGACAAACCTGAAAAACTGGACGGATTTGGAGGGAAAAAAATGAAACATTACAAGAAACAGAAACAGATACAGGAAGAAAAAAAATGTATCTATCAGACGGTAGACAAACAGACTGAGGAGGACGTCCCCTGGCTCATCTCCAATGCATGTTGGCCTGCATTAGTGCTAAAGCCACCCCACAAGAGAGGGAGAGAGAGGGAGAGAGAGAGGGAGAGAGAGAAGTCAATAGATAAAAGTCTTCTATCCATCCATCCATTATTCATTGGTGAATTAGATCTTGCTTGAATAATGTGGAAGAGGAAGGAGAGGAAATCTGGGAGGAGGAACAGGAAAGGTGTAGGTTGACTCGTGAGGAACAGAAAACTGTGGTGGTGCTTTTTTGGCAACGTGGAA